CTCACATCCGGCCGCGCGCGCGCGCGACCGCCCGTCTTAGGCCCGCCTTCCGGAAGGCCTTCTGCCAGCCTTGGACGCACGCCGCCCGATCGCTGAGGTATTTCGGGAGTGTCCGCCGCCTCCTCCGCCCCGCCCAGCCCCCGGCCTGAGAGGAACGAAGGGGTTCGGGAAAGCTCGAGTGGCGCGCTCCCCGCCGGCTCGCCTCGGACTCGGGTTTTCGGTTATGTTCGGCAATCTTCGCGGCTGAGGAGAGTCATTCTCTTCCTCTGCTTTTTCTTTCGCTATTGGTCGCTTCGGTGTCTGGCCTCGGTCTGACGGAGGCGCCATGTTGGTTCTCTTCATGCCTTCAAAGTTGTGAAAAGGAGGAGAAAGAGGGCTGGTTTTTACTGTCAACCTTTGTTTTATCTCATGTACGCAGCTACGGCTGCAACTGCTTTTTTCTATTACAAAACAAGCTACCGAAAATGGGGACTTCTGAAGTGACTGGGTTGAAGCCATGTTTTAACTGTGGTTTGTTAATGCATCCTAAGCATAACTCTAGTTTATGAACCTCTGTGTTTGGGTTCACACTATGGTTTGTTCAGCCCCATGCATACAACCCCATTGCACTCTGAGCAATATTAGGGGAAGGACAGAAAAAGCAAAGAAAGGTGGGGGGGGAAATAGCAAAGAAAATAAAGGTAGGAAATAAGAAAAAGAAAAAAGAGGGGGAATAATAGCAAAGAAAAGAAATTAAAGGTAGGAAATAAGAGAAAAAGAAAATTAAACCCAAGCTGTGATTTGTTCAAGAAGCCACACTGAGGTATATGCTCTCAACCCACTAACCCCTAAACCATGATTTGCAAATAACTGCTTGCAATCACATGACATTCTGACATAAACAAACCATGTTAGAGCTTAATGTGAAGTTGGGACATTTGACATTGTTTGTGCCCTTTGATTTTTCTTTCTGTGTCCCTGGGGCCAAGGTGAAATCATTCCCGTAATTTAAGTCAATTTCTCATTGTTTTACATCAGATGGTCAGAAGATAATGAAAACCACCCAAATTTGCGTAAACGAAACTGAATGGCTCTATCATTGTTTATTTTTTTAAAAAAACTTTTTCTCCCGTAAGATTTGTCCGTATCATAAATCTGATAATGTTCTTTTCCTCAATTCAGACGGATCTGAAATGAGGACAGCTAGTACTTACTTAGGAAAAGGAAATCCGTGTGGGACTTTTATCATGAATCTTGGCAGCAAAAACATGATTACTTTATATGGGTGTGAGCTGCCAGAATAATCACACTGATGTAATTCTGGAAAAATTGACACACATTGCAGAACATGAAAGAGGAGAGAATAATAGCCGTGTCGATTTTTATAGCATCATTTAAAAGGACTGTGTTTACATTTAAAGAAAAAAAAATCGTAGTTATAGGCCCAGTTATAATTGGCACTGATTTGTACAGGTTGATGTAAAAGATTTTTTTAATATTTCACAGCCTATGCTTCTATTTTTTTTCTGTTATTATTATTAATCTATTTTAACAAGGAGAGTCATGCTGGGTTTTGATAATCACCTTGTTCCTTTCTATCTACTTGTAAACTCTCTGCTTGATCATCTTTTCTAGAACTTTCCCAAGTATTGAGGTCAAGCTGATTACTCAGTAGGACCCACTTTTCCACTTTTTTAAAAGACTGGAACCACATTAGCTCTTCTCCAACCTTCTGGTGCTTCCCATGTCCACCAGGAGTTCTCAAAATTACAGTCAGGAATTCTGAGATCACATCTGCCAGGTCCATTAGTACCTACCTTTTTCTTCTGTTCTCACCTCTCCTTGGTGCAGCTTCTAACAAAGTGGACCGCTTTTTCCTTTTCCAGAAAGACAGATGCAAAAAGAGAATTAAGCATTTCAGCTTGCTCCCTGTAGTTGTCTGTCCCTATCTTGCCATTTTCTCCAACCAGCTGACCAACCATTTCCCTGATTTCCCTCTTGTTCTGCACATACCTTTTGGTGTTATTCTTGGTATTTGCAAGCTTCAGCTCATTCTGAGCCTTGGCCTTCCTGATTCCCTTCTTAGAGATCCAGGTGATTTCCTGATATTCTGTTTTTGTTACATTTTCCATTTTTTAAACTTATCCTTTTTGTTTCTCAGGTTATCAAAAAGGTCTTTATGCAACCACACCAATCTTATCAGCGGTCTCCCCTTTTTCTTTCCCTTTGGTATTGTTTGGGTTTGGGGCCTTAATCCTCTCATTTTTCAGAACTTCCCAGTTCTCATCAACTGTTTCTCCCTTCAAGATCTCCGCCTATGGAATCCTTCTATTTTTTCCCTTTGCTTGTTGAAGTCAACTCTCTTGAAATCCAGAACGCTAATCTGGCTAACGTCAGTTCTCCCTGCCTGCAATATGGTGAATTCTAGGATTACATTCTCATGCTTTCCCAATTGTCCATCAGCTTCCACTTCCTCAACCATTTTTTCCTGGTAATAAGTATTAAGTCCAGTGTAACTCATCCCCTAGTTTCCTTTTTTACCTTATGGATGATGAACTGGATGGGAAGGAGTTATTGTTATACAAAGACTGGATTGGTCGAGACAGAGCAGCGCATTGTGACATAGGAATGTCATGTCATCATCAACAAGATAGCATCCAGATCATCTCTTGGGCTGCATTGCTTTGATCTGTGGACATCCAGATCTTTGTACAGGTGGGAGGCGGAGCCTATGAGGCGTGGCTTGGCAGGTGTGTGTGGGTATCAATGGCGGTGGCAACTGTGCTGCTATCTGCTTTGGCTGCCCAGCTCTCCCAGTCAGCCACTGCCCACTCATATGGGATCTTCTGTAAAGGACTGATGCGGACCCTCCTCATCTTCTTTGAATTGGCCTGGAAGTTCCGCATCAATTTCTCCTACCTGTACCTAGTGGCTTCCATGATGTTCAACGTCAGGCTACAGGTAACCTTTGGAGGAGGGAGTTCAACCCAGGGGGCGAGCATGGCTCAGCCCTTCATTTGCTTTAACTTTGTACTCAACTTGGGTTCACCCATTGCTCAAGCCATGACTTGTGCAGTCCTGTTTCATGAGCAAATCACAGTTCCTGGTCTCGTGTCACACATGAAGCTGAAACCAAGTCAACTTTATGGATAATTTGCAGTGACATCCTGCAAACTAATAATGGTTTCCTGAAGCAGCCCTGTTTTCTGGGTTTGTGCTACCCACAGGCCATGTTTACACAACACACTGGCAGCTTAGTAACTGAGTTAACTTATTTTCTGGGTTCATACAATATATTGATTCATAAACTTAATAAAAAGGTTAGGTTTATACACTAACCACAAAAGCCAAGCCACAAAAAGCAAACTAAGGTTAAAACTAACCCATGATGTGTGTGTCCAGTGGTTACGCAGGAGATATGATTGAATCATCAGCTAATCACAGACAACATGCTAGGTAGAAACCTAGGAAATCATGTTGAGTCTGCAATGTTTACCTATGGCTAAGTCAATGGTTTGTTAAATAATGCACTTGACTGGACTTGTACATGCTGAATCATCAGGTGGCCCCAGAAGATGGGTTCTTACAGCATCCTGGACTAGAGCTGAAGTCTTTACTATTTATTTCTCCTCTCTGATCAAGAACCATTTATTACATACACATCACTAGATTTTGCCTGGCAGCAATTAAAATTTACAAACAAATAATTAATGGTTTGGGCTTGGGTAAAGTTACTGAGTATTCCTCTTTTATTTGTTATTTTAATCTTTATCTGTTCTTATCTCCTTTTCGTGGCCTTCAGAGACCCCCCAACCCTTTAGTTCTCACTCTTTGTATTAATATTAAGAATGTTTATAGAGATAGCTTAATATTTTTATTTTACAACATTGTGTTAGCAGTCCTAGCTTTTATTTAACTCAGTTTCTGTGTGATTATTGAAATGGATGTAATGTTTTCTCATTGTATTTTATGCCAGTCTAGGACCATAATCAAGATTTGAATTGAAGTCTTTATCATTTATTTACTAACATGTATTTCCCCCAAAGAGTTCAGTGGTCTAGTGGCTAAGGAGAGGGACTAGGAGTGGGAAAAATCTAGTTCCATCTTAGACATAAAACCCTCTGGGTGATCCTAAGCCTATCCTTTTCTCTCAGCCCTAGAAAGAAGACAATGACCAACCACTTCCAAAAAATGCTTCCTAAAGAACTGCAGGGACTTGTCCATGTAGTCACCAAGAGTCAAGACTGACTTGAAGGCAATAAATAAATAAATCCACCCAGCTTGGGTGACTAACATACCATTTTTTTGCCTTTGAGTCAGTCTTGACTCCTAGGAACTACACTGGCAAGTCCCTGCATTTTTCTTGGCAATATTTTTGGAAATGGTTTGCTCTTGTCTACACCCTGGGGCTGTGAGTGCCTTAACACTAGACCTATCTGGCTGTCATAACCTCCCCCTAAAAAAATCTAAAATAATAATAATCAAAACAGAAATGTAACAATAATATAAAAACGAGAAATTACAAAAGCATATGTGAAGGTTAAGATCAACCTATACCCTGACCCTTCTTTTCCAAATTATCTCGTAAAAGGGAGGACTGGACAGTTATTCTTTCTCAACCTACTTCACAGGATGGTGGTTTGAGGAGAAAAACAATTGGAGGAGAGACCATTGCCTTGAACTTCTGGAGGGTAGGCAATAAATCAGTTTTAACAAAGAAATAAATTCTGGCTAAGTGCATATAAACACCTGCATGCTCACTGTGAACTCCGGATGTTATTCAACTACAATTCTGAGCATCTTGCACTTTGATCGTGCTTCCAGAAATGATGGGAGTTGTAATTCACTGAACATCTGGAGTCCTTTAGATTGCCCACCTCTGTAGTAGATGGACAAAGAGTGTCTTTTGGTAAAATGCAGGTCTTTGGAGTCTTACAGATCTTCTCTTGCACTTCATGTATGTTTCCTTAACCAGTAATCTTTAATGTTCATTAACAATTGCATGTAGCTGGTCATATTCCATTTTGGGGTATGGGCCCTGTTGTAATATGCAGGTAGAACTCATAAAGTGTCTTAAAACTGGTTTTTCTCCTGCTCAGAGTAGAATAAATTCCTCTTTAATATCAATAGAGGTGAATATGGGTACCTCAGGGTTGAACTGTGGAGTCCTTGGGGTTCTCTGAGCTTGGTTCTTTTCTTGGAAACGTTTTCGATTACCTGGCTAGGTACATCTTCAGTGCTAAATG